TGCATTTATGTAGCCATGGTGATTAATCTAGTTGTGAGACAACAGTTGTACAGCCCTGTGTTTGTTTGTATCAGATATTTCAAAAACATTATTTACTGAACTTAGTTGATGGGATAGTTTGCCTCTGATAACTTCGTACTGAACAATGAAAGTTGTTATTAAATGGTCTGTAGTGTCTGGTTTTCCAGAATATTTGAGCACTCTTTTTTTAATCAGGAAATAAATAGAAAAAACTCTGTGATAGAACATTGGATGAGAACTTTACTCAAGTGTTTGGAAAACATATACTGAATATCATTTCCGAAATATCATTCTCTATCCAGCCACTATGGCTGAACACTTCTTTTTGACGGAAATAGTCAGGAAAAGCCCTGAATATTTTAGGTGAACCTGTTAGCAAAAAAAAAAAAAAAAAAAAAAAAAAATCCCCTTTTTTATAAAAAAATTGGGGGAAAAAAATTTTTTTGGGGTGTTAAAAAAAAAAAAAAAAAAAAAAAAAAAAAAAAATCTCCTATTGTATATAAAAATTGGTGGCAATACAGTTTTATGCTGGAAAAGTTTGTAAACTTAACTGTTCAAAATTATAATAAGAATAAAAATTCAGAATAACTTAAAATTTTTTGTTTTCCTTCACAGCATAATGGTACTACACACAATAGGCAGGTGCATAAAAATAAATAATACTGTTAAGTAGTGACAATGTTGGGAATCTGTTTGTATATAAAAATTGGTGGCAATACAGTTTTATGCTGGAAAAGTTTGTAAACTTAACTGTTCAAAATTATAATAAGAATAAAAATTCAGAATAACTTAAAATTTTTTGTTTTCCTTCACAGCATAATGGTACTACACACAATAGGCAGGTGCATAAAAATAAATAATACTGTTAAGTAGTGACAATGTTGGGAATCTGTGCTTAATCGGTGAGCTCCAAGCTCTTCCACTTTTAGAAATTATTGCTGCTCTAATACCCAATAAAAGCTTAAAAACGTGTTATAACAGTATTTTCAAATTGATACTTTTGACACCAAGTCCTTGTACAGAAGTAATTTCAGAGTGTGGTCATCTCTGTTTGTTGTCTGTGAGACTATAAGATCTCAGAGTTTAGTTCCATGGTAGTGACTATCATTTGCCAAAGGGTAAAATTCAGAGCTCTAAGACAGGAAATTCAGGGCCACTGCAGGCATTATTTGCATTGCTACATTCTGTTTCCAAAAGTTCAGCTATGTCTCAGTCTTTGAATTTGTGGCAGGGAAGAGTCCCTTTTTTAAAAAAATATTTTAAAAATGTAGGATTTTAAAATTATTTATTATTAACAGAACCATTTTTTATGACAAAAATCTATTAATCAAAGATATTGTACATCTCATTCTTAGAAGGACTTCAGAAAAATTACTTAAACATATCCTCTCTACATTTTTGCATTAATAGTATGTCCGATAGATTATTTTTTACCAGTTCTTTCTGAAATACCTCACTATGAGAATCATTAATGCATTTTTATGGCTGATCTTGTGGATGGACCCACTATCAGAAAAGTACTGTAATATTAAAGTCAAGTGATGTGATTTGATTCCTTCGACTCCTGTTATTCTTCCAGTAGATGGTAGTACTAATTGCAGCTGTGATGGCAGCCTGAGAGTTGACATTTGCATGGATCAGAAAAGAGTGCTTATCTTTGCATCGCAATTAAGTGAGGGTTGTAAGAAAATTCAAAATTATTTTCTGGATGTTAACAGTTAAGGACTATGCTTTGCAAGAATGTATATTCTGTGTTCAGTTTTATTACCATATATTGTCCTAGTCGCTGAGAGTCTGGATATACTTCACAGCAGGAGTCCCAAGTTTGTTTGCAAAAGTGAGAAGCCTTAGCCACTCTGATTCTGTGATTCCATTACAAATATATTATAGTGTGTTGAGGAGGAAGGGATGCAGGCTATTTCATTCCTTCACACAGAAGGATGTGTGGTGACTTGGAAACAGGGACAGTTCATATTTAATGTATTAATTGTTTAATAATAATGGTTCGTGGTGTCAGATCCTGTGCATGGTCCACTTCAAGATTATTACCTTTGAGGATACGTTGCCTGTGATCAATTGTTCACATAAGCAGAAATACAGGTAATGTTTCTGGACGTGTTGAATGATGTCTGAACGTTGTGACAGAACACATTTTGAAGGCATTGTTAGTGTTATTCTTTTCACATAAAAATACAAACAAACAATACTTAGCTGTGATGTTTTCCAAGACTTATGTGACTTAACTTTATAATCTTTCTAGAAAGAACTTTGAAGAATGCAACTTCAGTGCAATTGTTAGCAGTACAGGTAAAATGCATATCAAAATTGGATGAAACAAAGGAGTATGGGTAAAACATTTTAGATGTACTTGAAGATCCAAGAAGGCTTCATGAATCATTTTATCAAATTTATTTGAAGAAAACTGTACTTATATAACTGTGTTAACTTTTTAAGAAATGTAATTCTAGATGGGTGAGTTGAGTAAATTGAAATGTCTGTGATTTGTCTTTATTCTGAAAAGAGCCTTGAAATGTCGTTGCACAGAAAGCTCAAAGAGAAGCAGAAGGAATATTGGCTGGATAATAGTAATAATAATGACAATACCAGCACTGGTTAATGAACAAGTGACGGATAAGCTAAAATTAATTTTTGTCAGTACTATTACTTCTGGATATGTGAGAAGCATCAACCTGAATCCTGTATGATTCGGCACTGAGTTCCGTATTAAATGATATATCCATTAATGACATGTAGAAGTACATAAATTGAACACTGATATAATTTTCAGATTACTATAGCTAGGAATTTTGATGAATACAATGACTCTTAAATCAGAAGTATACATGTGTATGAATAACTTAGGAATTTGGTTGGGCAAATATGAGGTGACAATTAGAATAAGGTAATAATAATAATAATTAGAATAAGATAATAGATTGAGGAAAGACTATCCCAGACAGACATAAACCAGGAAATTTTGCCTACAATATAATTATGAATAAAGCACCTTCTGCATCGTTTTATTGATAAGCAACTGAAAATGAATTTTAAATTCAGTACCATGGCAGGCAAAGACTGGTTTGATTTTGAAATTTGTATCTAGGTATATAGTTGAAATTTTTGTGGTAAAATCTTGCTGCTAACTTCACAGGATTGCTGTCTAACTGAGCAGGTCCAGAAGGTAAGTCATGCTGTGTAGTTATGATCAACCTTGGTTAAGAGAGGAAAACAACTAAATAAAGTCTAGCTGGAGCAAATTTTAGGAAAAGAAAGTAAATTCAGCATGTTGATTGGGACTCAAGCAACTTAAAAATGCAAGAGCTTATGAAATATTGTGAATGTGTTGTCCTGGTTTCAGCTGGGATAGAGTTAATTTTCTTCCTAGTAGCTGGTATAGTGCTGTGTTTTGGATTTAGTATGAGAATCATGTTGGTAACACACTGATGTTTTAGTTGTTGCTAAGTAGTGCTTACACTAAGTCAAGGACTTTTCATCTTCCCATGCTCTGCCAGGTCCACAAGAAGCTGGGAGGGGACACAATCTTGCTGCTAACTTCACAGGATTGCTGTCTAACTGAGCAGGTCCAGAAGGTAAGTCATGCTGTGTAGTTATGATCAACCTTGGTTAAGAGAGGAAAACAACTAAATAAAGTCTAGCTGGAGCAAATTTTAGGAAAAGAAAGTAAATTCAGCATGTTGATTGGGACTCAAGCAACTTAAAAATGCAAGAGCTTATGAAATATTGTGAATGTGTTGTCCTGGTTTCAGCTGGGATAGAGTTAATTTTCTTCCTAGTAGCTGGTATAGTGCTGTGTTTTGGATTTAGTATGAGAATCATGTTGGTAACACACTGATGTTTTAGTTGTTGCTAAGTAGTGCTTACACTAAGTCAAGGACTTTTCATCTTCCCATGCTCTGCCAGGTGCACAAGAAGCTGGGAGGGGACACAGCCAGGACAGCTGACCCAAAGTGGCCAAAGGGCTATTCCATACCGTATGACATCATGCTCAGTATATAAATTGGGGAGAGTTGGCCGGGGGGCATCAGTCACTGCCTGGGGACTGGCTTGGCATCAGTTGGTGGGTGGTAAGCGGTTGCAGCACTTGTTTTTCCTGGGTTTTGTTCCTCTCTTTTTTGTTGTTGTTGTTTTCCTTACTATGTTGTTGTTGCTATTATTGTTGTTGTTGTTGTTGTTGTTATTATTATTTTATTTTAATTATTAAACTGTTTGTATCTCAACCCACGAGTTTTCTTACTTTTGCCCTTCCGATTCTGTCCCCCATCCCACCGGGAGGGCGAGCGAGCGGCTGTGTGATGCTTAGCTGCTGGCTGAGTTAAACCACGACATAGGTGCATTTTCGTATGTTACATTGTCAGTGTGTTTACAAGAAAAAATAAAGTACTATTGGCTTAGGTAATTGAAATGAAACAGAGAAAATATGTCTTGGAAAACCTTTTTTTTTATAGCAGAATTTTTAAAAGGTGACATTGAGTAAGTTGCCTGCGAGTTTTCTTGTTCTGGTGTTAGGATAACAAGATGAATCCCACATCGTCTTGTGCTGCATATTGTGACGAATGCTAACAGTTTAATTAATCATCATGATTGTATGTTGCTGATATTTATTTGTAGGTGGGATAGCTAACACCTCAGTTACAGCAAAGATCTGGAAGTAATTTTCAGGATGTCAGGAAAACTTTAGGATAAGCTGTTAAATCTGGTACTTTTCAGTTATCCTCGTTATTTCTTCTGTAGAATGGTACTTGAGTCGAATAGATTACCGTGTTAGAGTAATAACCACATAGTAGGTCAGCTGTGCTGCTCTCTTCTATGCAAGACCTGCATTCCAGCCCATTCAGTTCCATTTACTGGACACAGGGAAAAAGATTTATTCTTGGTTGAATCTGCTAGTAGGGTTACTGAATCTCTGTTGCTTAGGCCAGCATATACTGCTATCATTAATATTCCATGTCTTTTTTCAGGACAAAGAAGGAGTGGAGGGTGTATCTGTGGGAGCCATTCTTTCTGACTACCAGAGAGTTCGAGTTGAAGATGTGTAAGAAAACATTGATCTTTATTAATACACATATTCTGGAAAGTGCTTTACTTGTTTGTTTTCTAACTAAAATTCTGGAGCAGGGACAGTTGCTTTATTTCTTATGTTCTATGATACCCAATTCCTTCAATTTGTTAATGTAAGTATCTTTTTTTTTTCTTTTTTTTTTCTTTTTTTTTTTTTCGCCTTCCCTGGAACCGTGTGTTTATTAGTAAAAATCCAGTAGAGACTATACTGGATTTTTGGATTGCTCTTCAGGTCTCTCATGGATCTGTTGAAAATACTGAGAGTTTTGATATGAAAATAGTTGAGTAGGTTCAGATCTTTGATTTCAACAGAAAATTCACTCAGTTCCAGTGACGACAGTGTTGTGGTCAAGTACCTCTATTTTTCAACAGAGTTTTAATATAGAGGAACATTCTGCGACTTGTTATCATGAATTAAATGCAAGAGAATCCTTATGTGCATATCTTCCCTTACTTCCTTAAGATCTAAAATCTGTTATCAATCAGGAGCTTTCATTTGTCATTTCTACTGTGCACACTCATTGAGTCTAGATAGATTGTGATACTTCTGAGAGTCTTAATTAAAAAAAGAATTATGTAATGGGAATTGCACGTGTTATATAGGCCAAGATTTGATTTGGGTCTGGAAAAAAATTTTCACTATATATGTCTGATGAAATACAAAACAACCTTGTGTTAAAAAATAATTTCATGAGTTCATTGGTTATTTGTTGATGATAAAAGCAAATATCTGGAATCCGTTATGAACTGTAAGAATGGTGAAGTTAATGCTGTGTGAACTCGACTCACATCAGCAAGTTACATAGCGTGGGTGTTTTCTTTGTTTTACGTAGGTAAATTGCAGTCAGAAATAGCTCCTTTCTTTTGCTTTTCCCTTACACTTAAAACATTTTAATGACTGCCTGATCATATTACTAGATATTTTAGAAAAGATTACTTTTGTTGATTGTGGCTTTCAGATTTTTTACCATAGCCAAAAGACTGACAGAACATCACAATATTTCAAACAGACCTGATTAATCCCAAGGTTGCTCAGTGGTAAAAAATTTTTTACATTGACCTGCAGATTCAACCCTTGCAATAAAGTTGTTTCACATAAATCATCCCAGTTACTTGGATTGAGCTAATTTGTTAGCTAAAGTTAGGCACCTAAATGAACTACATCACATTCAGAGTTGCTAAATATTTCGGTTAATTTCACAACTTCATGCTCTGTTAAAATACATGAAAGTAATAACAAAACCAATCAGATTATATGGGTGCTAACTGTGGATTTAACATGTCAACATTAAACATCCATTTAACTATAAAGTCTTGACATTAATACTAGTGAGTCTATCTAACGTATGGGAGAAAGCCCATATATTAGATAAACAATAATTGACAAATAAATATAATTTTTGCGTGCTCTGAGCTAGTCCCATAGTTAAATGTGTTTAAGTTTTTCAGGAACTAGACATTACACATTTTATCACCAACTGATGGTACTTGACAATTTGCAGAAGGGTTACCTATCAATAGTGCAGATTAGTGATTCTCTAATTTGCTAAACAATCAAATACTGTGTATCAAATGCTGTCTAAATATGATATGTATCAAAACAAATAATTAAATTTACACTAACAAGTTGTTACTTTGTATCACAAGCTGTATATATTTTCCTGAATGATTCTTTTCCTTGGGTGTTGATCCAAATCACAGGTTTGTTGAGTGTAACAAATTCAGCATATTGTACTAGTGACATGTGGCACATTTATCGTAGAGCAGTAACTCTTGCCTTAGCTGCGTTCATAAAAAGTGATCACTTCCTAAGGTATTAATTGGTTTGCGTCCCTAAAGGTTTAGGAATGCATTTTCTCATGGTTTTACTTTTGTTCCTGTGCAAATCTGTTTACATCTTACTTGCACAGGTGAATTATAGTCAGAACAATTTTATTTCATTTTTTAATATTAGACTTAATGTATATACTGAAATTTAGGAATAGTAAAGTAATTGAAATCATAGAAGAAAATTATTTAAAGGTAGGGAAATTAATCATGCTGTGTAAAAGCATAATGCTTGGCTTCATCCAATTTTTTGTTTGTTTTTAAGTTGCAGAAGGCTTAATCTTCAGCCTTTAGCTTACCTTTGGCGTCGGAACCAGGAAATATTGCTTAAAGAAATTATATCATCTAACATTCAAGCCATAATCATAAAGGTGGCAGCTTTCGGTACGTATTCAGATTCTGAGCAATATTGTCTCTGAAACTTCCCATGGACAAATCCACAACATAACAGAGAAAACCAGAAATTTTGTTCTGTATTTTAGGATAAGAAGTGTTAATATGAAGACAATTTTAAAAAATTACATGGCTGAATACCAGTCATGATATCTGAATAATTAATTTACCTGTATGCAATTCATTCTTAGAGGAGACATGGAAAGTAATTCTTCCTAGCATAGTCATTGAATTCCTTTTGCAATTTTTTTGTTCTAGTTTGGTTTTGATTTGCAGTAAAGATGCCTGCATAATTCAGTGGTTCACAGTATTATCATTTATAGATGATGGAAACTGGTGGCTAGACAATATTCTAAAGCAACCGTGAAAGTTTTAATAGAAATACAACAAATTAACATCAAACAAGATGTAATTATATGAGGCCAAAAGGAGGTTTGTATAATGAAGCAAATCAATATGAAAGATAACCTGTTTGTTTATTGTTTGAATGTAAAGATAAGGTCAAACGAAGTTTTATAGGAGGGCTTATTGAATGACATGCTCTATAACCCTAAGAAGCACATGAGAAACATGTTAATGGTACAATATATTCATGTCAGGCCTCTCTGCAGTTTTTCATTTAAGAGTATCAAATGAGGTCTTAAGCATAAAGTGTGACCAAAGGACCTTTTCTTTTTGGGTTGACTATAGATTTGTGGTCCATTGTACCAAAGAATGGCTCCTATAATTAAGAGTGTTAGTGGCTCGGTGGTTAAAGATGTATGTTTAAAAAACAGTGGTTTATAAACTTGCCTTAGAAGTCCAATGGCTGGTTTATCTGGGCAACTTTTACATCAAATTCCTAATGTCTGTTGTCTTTAAAGAATGCTTTATAACAAAGTAATTTCTCCTTAAATATTAACTAAGAATTGAATTATAATCCCTTTAGACTGGATGAATTCCACAACTTTTTTTAATTTATTCTTTATTTTTTGTATTTATTTGTTCCTCTTTAGCTGGTATAGTTTCTAACTAGTTTTTACATTATCACTATGGTGTTCTCACTGTATTGTTCTCTAGGATCTGCTGGGACTGCTAGTGGGATTAGAATGATTAGAAATACCACATTCCCTCGTTCACTTATAGGTAACAAGCAATGTAATTTAATAGCGTTTTCCTGAGTTTTTGAAGGCCAGTTACAAATACATAGGAGTTGAACGCTGTGTTTTCTACTATAAAACACTTCTTTTTTTTAAGTTGGAAAAAAAAACCCAAACATCTTTTTTAAAGGAAGAGTTTCCAGGCCATGTAAACTACATTTTTATATTTACGTTATTTTTCCATAAAATAGAATGCCTTCATTGCTTTTGATGACATGAATTAAAAATGAAAGTCCACAAAGAATATGTAACATGCTTTTCCACATCAGAATTATTTTTTAAAGAAAATATATGATTTAAATAATAGATAAAACTATGTCACAAGTAGACATCGTTGATGACCTGTCTTATGCCTGAAGCCAGATAGGCTTGTCTTTTGTATTCTACAGTCTTAAACTTAAAATGCACTAGTTAGTGCACAAAGAGTGCTTTGTGGGCTACTTATTGAAGGAGCGAATACCATAAATTCTTATAGATAGCAATTAGATAGAAAATCACTCCGAGGTTTTTTTTTTTTCCTTTTAATTTTTTTGGCTACAGGTAAAAGAAAGATCTTATCAGAGTCAATTTCTCACCTGCCTCAGGCAGGCGTAATTAGATGTAAGCAAATTTAATGGAGCTTGTGTGCTCTGGGGCCATTCTGTAATGCTTTAATAATTGCATGCCTTATTAAAGTGGATTTAAGGTATGAAGGCTGTTTAACATATCAAGTGGCAAAGAAGATAAGATACAGTTTAACTTTTTGCCTATTAGATTAATAATCAAAGCTAAACTGCAATGAAAATATTTAAAATAACAGATTTAAGAGTCTGAAGGGTAATGCGTTAGATGGCACATTGTACAGATGTTAATGCAAGAAGCAAATCTGTAACCTGAGCTTGACATTCGTCAGCGCTGGCATACTTGTACACCCGCCTCGTCCTGTTTTCCATTAACTCAGTGCCAGTATTGGCAAGGTAAAAGCCTGTAGTTTTATGTAGAAAACACATAATTATGCAAGTAAATGAGCATTAGTTTAGTACATTTCCCTAAATCCACCATTACAAATGAATACCATAAACTTTGCCAGTGGCAAGTTTTCTCAGCGTAGTGTGCTTTTCCAGATGCAATACCAATTGCTCTCACTTACATGCAAAGGAAGTGTTGTTAGCAAGCCTTCTTCACATACCTTCTGTTGATCTATAAGTAGATCAGCTTTCTTTCCTTTAGAGTGTATTTCAGAGGCTTTGATGATGAGAGAAAAACATTCCATGATCTAGCAGCAAACCTAAGGTATAAAAAAAAAAAAAGCTGCTTATGCATATTTATCTTCAGTGCCATTTTCTTGCTGCTAAAGATGCCTGTATGATGCACGATACTTTTATATTTGAAATATGCCCCTCTTCAGTGGAAATCCCAGAGAGTCAGAATAAGGTTACTCAGTAATAGCTAAAATAGAAGCAGTTATTGATTGTTTTTAACATGTGTGTGCCTGAAATTCCAGTAGTATCCATTGCTCATGTGAGACAGTGTAATATAGCACTGTGTAATATAACAGAGACAGTGTAATGTAACACAATAATAAGATGCAGTTTTGATATCCTTGCTCTCTGGACACACTTTATGGACTAAAATTCTAATTAACTTGCAGAGTATGCGTATAACAGATTCAACTTTTAATCTTGGTAACTTTACGTACTGGTCTTACCTGTGCCACATTCTAAAGCAAATTGCTTCCACTGCAGCACAAGGTGTTATACTTAATTGGAAGTGAGAGAAGGAGGAAGGTTACATTTGGAAGGAATCTTTGGGTTCCTCACAGTGTGGTCCTCTGTAAAAATTGAGCATCGAGTTTTATTTAGTTTTACTTTACTTACATAGTTAACTATACCTAAATCTTGTTAAGAATTAGCACTAAAACTTAAGCGCCACTATACATTTTAAAATATGACAAACTTCAGTTCTCATATATATGAGAATATAGTTGAAATTGGTTTTGTGTCATGCAGTTAAAGCAGTTTGTCCTCAGTGATTCTAATTTTTCTTGAAGTTTTAAGAGTAACGTTCACCTTCAGTAAGTTTTATAAGTGCACATTGTTAGCTTGAGAAAGTGGGGGAAACAATTGCTTCTTCAATGTTTCACTCAAAATCAGAATATAAGCTCAAATTTCTATCCTTTATGGGATTAATATACATTATTTACCTTATACATTGCAGCTTCTTCCCGGTTTGGTTGTAGTAAATTAATGATTTATTGTTGAATTAAAAACCTGAAAAAACATTGTAATTATGAGGTCAGATAATAGAAATACTAAGTTGAAAAAGAAAAACTCTTTCATGGTAAAATTATGTTTCTAACTTCTAGCTGTTCTTTGGACCACAGGAGAGAAATGATAACAGAATGCTGTTCAACTGTTAGACAATAATTAAAGCTGAAACTTTGTATCAGGGATGATTAGCTTGTGGTCCTCAGCCTACATTTGAAGTGGTGCTCTTATGCCATAGCTACATCCTTTATATTGTATGTCCGGCTGCTATGATTGCTTCTCGACAATCTGCATGCTCAGCCATGCGTAGAGTTGAAATCACAGGGGCTGTAGAAGCTTAAATTTTGAGATGGCGTGGGCCCTCGTTGCTTACCTAGGCTATTTACCTCCAACAATGGAGTAATGAGTCCTTAGGGAGCCATTGCCATCTCCTGTCTGTCAACAAATCCTGAAGTTCCTTCTCTAAAATGAGCTGTGTGAAGTATGTATAATTTAACTTGAGTCTCCTTTGCTGTGAGGAGATCTTGCCGCTTGCCTCACAAGGCCAAGAAGATTGGTATACTCCTGCTGTACATAGAATCCTCTGAAAAGCAGATAGTTTAGGGATGTGTATGTTTTTGTACATGAGCTTTTAACTTAGAGAATGTTACTTGTCAGTATAATGAAATCAGTACCTGGAGCTTTTGTTTATTATTTAAACCTAACCACCTAGGTGTCTGCATTGTTGTTTATTATTTGCATGCCACTAGTGTACAGAAGTGAAATCCTGATTACTGAAACTGATAGCCAGACTCCCATTAATTTTCATGGAGTTAAGATTTACGTATGAAGTAGTACATTAAAAAAGAACTAGCATCACACAGTTTCTGGTTAAGCTCCTGAGGGTATAATTTAGTGTTACAGATAAACTGATCTAATAGTGAGTCGCTGCTAAAAGGTTGATCTTTCCTTCCCCTTTCTAGCTGACTCTTCCAAATCACAAGTCTCTACTCGCTTCTGCCCCTGTAAAAGCTCCAGTGATTGTGTTGCTGCAGCTGGGTGATCCAGCAGAGAAGTACTGCTTTTTTGTGTGTGCAGGGAACTTGCTGTGTAGATGCCACGGCTGTATGGAGGGCAAAACTCTCTCTTTCAGTAGAAAGATTACCACTAAATTGGGTTGGCTATAATGTCAGATCATATCCTGAAGTAAAATTGGTGGTTGTGTGAGTTTTGTCCGAGCACATCATCTGTGGAATGGAAAGGAAATGTGTTCTTTGAAAATGTGTCTCTAGTTTTTAGTACTGAGCAATTTTAAAGTCATTATTGGGGAAACTGAAGGAACTTGTTATATATATATATATCATCACAGGGAAACATGCGTTCTCTAAATCTTTTCAAAAATTTCTCAGACAATTCGCAACCATAACAGAAGGAAGCGAGGAACATTTTGTTAAGAAATCAATACAAGATCCCATTTGTTTTCTCCCATATTGTATTGTAAGGATTTGTTTACTTACTTATTACTAAATAAACTAAACATTGGCATTATTCTTAGCTAGTTCAGCTTATTTAGAGGTGACTGTTCCCTTGCTCTTTCCTTGGGCAGTTACCAGACACTGGAGCTGTA